GGTTGCACCGGCCCTGACTGCATGAGAGACTTATGTTTGATTATTGAGGCCAGCATTTCATTCTGTGAGGCAGCAAGGACTAAAAGCACTGTTCACATATGGTCACTGGAGAGAATACCTCATGTCACTCTAGTTACTCCTTAGTCAGTGTAAGGATGGCACTAATGGGCTATTAGGGAAATCCCCATTCACCTGTCTTCTTAAAGAAAGAATTGTTTCTGCAATGCAGGGCCTGAAGGAAGCAAAAGTGGAAAAGTGCAAACAAAGCATAATATGGGGGGGAGGAGGAAGTGACTCCTGGTGTCCCAAGGGAGCCATAATACATACAGAAATTGTTTTAAATATTCTCAGAATACAGCTGTAGTTGTTGAGTGCAGAGTTATCTAGATACCTTTTTTTATTTTCAAGTGGTACTGGTGCCTTTGAAATCTTGCGCAAAGTTAATGTGAAAAAAAAAAAAAGCCTCAGCTGGGCAGTATTATGAATGACAAATGCAGCATATCAATAATGTGTAGAACAGATGATATAGCATGTTAATGACATCCATTATGGTAAGGTGGCAACTAAAAGAGAATAAATGGTGAAAGTGATGGTGCAGTTTAATCAATGAATCCCTTTGCTACAATACAAATGTTTTCCAGAGGAGCCTCAAAGGGATGTGTGTATGGTTTATGACTGCTTGCTGTAGCTCTGCAATTGACCTAAAATATTTGCACTGCTCACTGGGTCTGAAACAAACATTCGTAGTCCATACATGTGTACCAGATAAGATACTCAGTGGACAAGGGAGCACATAGTACTCCATGTGAGGACATAACGCCGATCTATATAATGGCAGTACAGTATTATCAATATTATTTTTTATTCCATCTTTGGCACACTCCAGTATTTTCTGTTATATTTTTTGACCACCCCCTGTTCATTAAGCAGAAGATTTCACGGAGCTGTTCTATTCTACCCTATCTAGGTTCTTATACCATCCCTTTCTACATAGCATCTGAACACCTTCCAGCAATTCATTAAGTGGCATAATTAATATCTGTTGAGTGTGGTTCATTTTCTCTCCCATGCTCTCTTTAGGGGGAGAATGTGTGCGTGCGTGTGCAGTGCAGAGTTTTATTTTAGTAGGGCTTTGTTTTTAAATGTACAAGATGCTCTGTGTTTATGTTAGAGAAGGCAGGTCAAAGAAATGTGTCTTGCAGATGGAGCAGAAGGTGGTGTGGTTTGTGATGGTCCTTAATTCTTCTGTCCAAAATGAAGCCCACAGTCTCTCTCTGAGGAAGAGAGGAGGATTTGTAATATGGCATAAGAACAGCTATACTGGATCGGACCAATGGTCCATCTCGCCCAGTGTCCTGTCTTCTGACAGTGGCCAATGCCAGGTGCTTCAGAGGGAATGAACAGGACAGGTAATCATCAAGTGATCCATCCCCTGTCGCCCATTCCCAGCTTCTGGCAAACAGAGGCTAGGGACATCATCCCTGCCTGTCTTGGCTAATAGTCACTGGTGGATCTATCCTCCATGAACTTATCTAGTTCTTTTTTTAAGCTTGTTATAGTCTTGGCCTTCACAACATCCTCAGGCAAAGAGTTACACAGGTTGATTGTGCGTTGTCTGAAGAAGCACTACATTAATTTAAAGTGTCAGTAACAAAAATCTGTTCAGGTACATGATGCTGAAGGTCAAAATTTACAAAAGTGTCCTATGATTTTGAGATGCCTTAAGTTTAGAATAGGAGTACTTGTGGCACCTTAGAGACTAACAAATTTATTTAAGCATAAGCTTTCGTGGGCTACATAGTGCATCCGAAGAAGTGGGCTGTAGCCCATGAAAGCTTATGCTCAAATAAATTTATTAGTCTCTAAGGTGCCACAAGTACTCCTGTTCTTTTTGCGGATACAGACTAACACGGCTGCTACTCTGAAACTGTCAAGTTTAGAATGTGCATCTTAAGACACAGTGGACCTGATTATTGGAAGTGCTGAGCACTTCCAGCTTAGATTGACTTCAACTAGAGTTGTTGGTGCTCAGCACCTAGACAATCAGGCTCCGTATATCTAGATCTAGGGACCCAAAAATTGAAGCTTCCCAAAATCATCTCTCATGACACTTTTGAATATTTGGCCTGTCAACATTGCTAAGAATTAAAAGTTTAATTCAGATTTCCAAGATCTCTCTAAAGTAGGGTTGCCAACCCTTCAGGATTGTCTTGGAGTCTACCGGAATTAAAAATTAATCTTTAATGAAAGATTATATCCAGGAATACATCCAACCAAAATTGGCAATCCTACCCTAAAGCAGAAGGGAAGATCTTGCTTATTGATGGAGACAGAATGTTGGTGGTTGACAAGAGGCTAGGCTGGTTTCTACATATGGCTTTCACTCTGGATAAAGGATAATTTTTCAGTGCAATATAAAAGGTGTTTGAAAGGATCTAAAAAAAAGAAGAGGCGAGGTTGTTCTGATTATTAATCTTTTTTTGGAATGTTTTGATCCCCAGATCTAAACGGCCAGCTCCAGTTCCAACAGCCACACTTAAAGTTGACTCTCCCAGGCCTGTAATTCCCCATCAGAAGGTATGTAACATATTATCTCTTTAGTGCTTCTTGTTATTTGACTCTAACATAAATCACATAAACATAAATCGGTATCCGGTCTAATCCTCTCCGAGCACCTGGAGCATTTCTGACTTTTTTTTATTCTGTTCTCTTCTAGGCTGTAGGTAGCTAAGCCTATCAAAGCTTCCCAAAATATACAGTCATTTCCCAAAGCACTTGAGGAAAAACCCCATTAGCATATGGCTCAGCTCAGCTAAAAATTGACTAAAACTGACAACATGTTGACTTGGCTAGACTAGATGATATTAAGGCATTTTACAATCTTTATTGGTAGCTGTGCCTTCTTGTCAGGTGAGTTAATAAATGTGACACCAAAAAATAGAGGATAATTTAGGCCAGGTCTACACTACCGCGGTAGTTCGACGGCTGGACGCGATAAGTCGAACCAGGAAGTGCTCGCCGTCGACTGCGGTACTCCACCTCAGCGAGAGGAGTACCGCGGAGTCGACGGGGGAGCCTGCCTGCCGCGTGTGGACCGCGTCTGAACCGCGGTAAATTCGAACTAAGGTATGTCGACTTCAGCTACGTTATTCACGTAGCTGAAGTTGCGTACCTTAGATCGAATTGGGGTGTTAGTGTAGACCAGGCCTTAATGTAAAGATGAACAGAGAATGATGGGGAAAGTGGATGGCTTAGGTTCCATGGACTAAGTCCATCTCCTAGGATATAGATGTCCAAAAGCCATCACCACCGCTAGCATTCACTGTCTAGTTAGCAACTGTGTCTGCAGTCTCTGTAGGGTGGCCAGAGACTATGAATGGCTGCAATTGTGTATCTTCCTATCCCTAGATATGAGAGGTTGTCTGAGATGGGGAGGGGACATGATAACAGTTTTCAAGTACATAAAAGGTTGTTACAAGGAGGAGAGTGAAAATTTTTTCTCGTTAATCTCTGAGGATAGGACAAGAAGCAATGGGCTTAAATTGCAGGAAGGGAGGTTTAGGTTGGACATTAGGAAAAACTTCCTAACTGTCAGAGTGGTTAAGCACTGGAACAAATTGCCTAGCAAAGTTGTGGAATCTCCGTCATTGGAGGTTTTTAAGAATGGGTTATACAAACCTGTCAGGAATGGTCTAGTTATTATTTAGTCCTGCCCTGAGTGCAGGGCACTGAACTAGATGACCTACTGAGGTCCCTTCCAGTCCTACACTTCTATGATTCTATGCAGTGCATTGGCAGCGCAGTGTGGAGGAAATTTGGACTACCAGTGCCCAGGCTGTACTCTTATTGATTGGATAAACAGGGAAGTGCAGTCCCTACTCTCAATCCTACCTACTCTGTGAGGGCTAATTTCACACACACACACCCATGACATAAAATAAGAAACAAGACAAACCATTTCAGATCCCAAATCAATAACAGAGAGTACACGTCAGCTTCAAACATTTCTTATAAATACTGTGCATTCCAAATTCTGAGCTCAGGAGGTTTGTGTCTTCCCTGCAGCAGCTGCTGACATGTTGAAACTAACATACAAGATATCATCTTGGGGCGAAATGTTTGCTTTTATTTATTAATTAATTTTGTGAAAATTTGAAAGGAACCTGCTCAGTCATTTTTGAGTCAAGTCAGAAACAATATTATGTCACTCAACTGCCTTATGGGTATTTGGGCAGGGAAAGAAGAAATGTTAAAATTTATCCTGCAGGGAGTTGTTCCCCTTTATATATTTTTTCTGAAGAATACAGAAGGCACTGTGGGAAAGGAAGAGGAGTCAAAGTGTATGTCCATTTGCTTCATCCAGAGAGATGATGGAAATGTCTGCCTCTTCTCATACTAGAATATTATGGGGCTCACCAGTTGAGACTGTTATTTTGTGGGACAGAAGGTTATTGGAGAGGAAATACGGAATATCACTATGAATTCTCATGGAAAAGAAGAACGTTCCATTCTTTTGTTTAGAACTGTCTCCCACTTCACCAGCCCAGTAGGGGTTGTTTTGTTCTGTATTTCCCTGAAAGGAAATTGTCAGAGAATTTTTAGCCTCCAAAGCAGCCTGAGTGACCTAGTAAACTGTTCATCTCTTCATGTATTGGAACTTCTCCAGGGCTTCTACGTGACACACTGACTCCCAGGAGCGTCTGAATGGATGTGACAGACCTGCACAGCTCCAGAGCTTGCTCATTCATGGGCAAGCCATAGTTTCAAGAGATCACATTTTGATAACTCCATAATTAACTATACTCCATGTCTGGCAAATGTCAATTAAAAAACCTCCTAAGTAGTCACTTATCTTACCAAAGTTGTTTCTATCTGGTAAATATGTAAGAAGGGGGAAGGGAGGAGGTTAAATACATATTATCAATTCTTTAAAATATTGTTGGTTTAAAAAAGTCATAAAGATATCTTTGATATAGTTGCTGGAGTGTCAGCTCAACTTGTATTTTCTGTTTTAGCCCTTCATAGTGTTATGAGAATTAAAGATCTTAGATTGCCTAAGCACAGACATTTAGTTTCGAGGTGCATCTCACCTTAAAGCTGAACATTCTGTAGGTGAGGGAGTAGGTTGGATGTAGGATTATTTCTGGTGTTTGCTAAGGGTTTTTCAAAGAGCTGGGATGTGGGTCCTATCCCATTTCCAAGAGTGCTAAGAGGTTTCTCACAGCTGTGGATCAGGTTGGCTAGATCTCTTGTCTGGGAGTATGATGTGTGGTTAGTGGCAACTAGGAGTGGAAATGATGTTGTTGGGGTAGCATTTCTGGCAGGACTGAAGAGAGTTTTACACCTCAGAGGTGAGTCATGGTATTTGTCCAAGGTGATACTGGAAAGAAACTGGCAGTTGTAGGTCAGCTTAGGGTGCTTGTCCAGGGATTCTGGGAGACTTGGACAGTTGGGATGGGAATGACGATGCATGTCTTAGAGCAAGGCGATTGGGGGTCAGATGTATATCCAGAGGTTGTGAGGGAGTTCAGTCCCTCTCATGTTGGGCTAGGAGGATTGCAGTAGATGCATGCCAGGTCACGTGTGGTACATGTAGAGGGAAATTGTCAATGAGTTCAGTAGCTGAAATGAGTCCTCTTTAATGGTGTATTGGGAGGGAATTATAGTGGGAACATGAATGTCTTGAATCACTAAAGCAGAGATCTCAAATATGGTATAAAAAAGATCTTACTGATGTAAACTAGTATTTCATGTATGTTGAGGTAAGGTATGTTACAGTAAATATATTGTTAAAATAAAGTTTTGTTTAAAATAAAACTTGTTACTTTTTAAAAGCCATCTTAGAATAACCTTAGCATTGGGGGACTGGCTGGTTTAAGGGACTGTCAATGAGACACAGAGCTAGGTGTCTAGTTCCAGTTGATCTGATGGCTACTGCAGTGGCCCATATGAAATTAGTTTGATTTCATTTCAGCTCCCAGAGAGCAAATGGCTACATTATAAAACCATCATTGCCAAGCTGTCCTCTCACCTGTAGGGGTAGTCTTTCCGGGTCAGGGACAATGCATGCAGCTAAGGACTCTTGCATGTGCAGACAAGTTCAGTGGCTGATATAAACCATACACATTATTTCTGCTGACTCAATTGTAATTCCTGCTAATTTGCAAGCATGTATTTCTTTTCAACTTCTATCAGCAGCTGATTATATAAGAACTCATATTAGGTGCAACTTCAGCCTATTGAAAGGCACAATCAATTTTTTTTCAGTTTGGTAGGAATGCTCCCGCATCCCCAGTGGAGCCCATTGTCTCCTCATTTTCTTCAGCTAATCTGTGTTTTGAGCTGAACGTCTGTGATACATGAGATCAACTGGGCTGCGGGGCTGCTGGAGGGAATGAATGTTTGATTGGATCACAGTATACTTTTTGCTTACCAAACAACTCAAAACAAGATTAATCATTTGCGAGTTAAATGAAGCTGTTTGCACAGCTCTAGGCATGAAATATGGAAAGAATAGAAGGATATATCCAAGACTGAGAACATTTGTGATTAGAAGTCATTCAAAATGGAGGAAAGAGAGATGGGGACTCTTCCAGAGAATTGAACTAAAGGTTCATAAATGCTCTGTGTTCATGCAACATAAGGGTTCATAGTTAAGCATCTACAAGTGAGGAAGTATGAAATTTAAGGGTCAACACACAGCCTTAACTCTGTCCTTTTGCATATAGGCATTATGATATAGTGTTTATTTATATCATCATATTCTGTACTATTTATGAAATATGATGCTATAAAATTATTATGGTAATTAATATGTCTATTATGGTAGCTCTCAGAGTCCCAGTCAGAATCTGAGCCTCCTTGTGTTTATGAATAGTATATTCTACAATACTGTGAACTTGTATGTAAAATAACCAGCAATCATAGTTGGAGGAAGGATGGTCTTGTTGAATAAGGCACAGAACAGGAGATCTGTGTTCTATTCCTGACTGTGCCACAGACTGCTTGTGTGACCCTGGACAACTCACTTAATTTCTCTGTGCCTCAGTTCACCTGTCTGTGAAGTGATGATAGTAACAACTAGCTTCTTAATATGGGTGTTGTAAGGCTAAATTAAATAATTAATGTTTCTAAAAACTTGAAATCATTCTTGTAGACATTCAAAGAATTGGTATAATATTCTAATTAAAGACTGTATCCCAATTCATAGTAAGGTCAGAGTTAACATTACCTTTCATACTTCCTGACTTGAGTGCTTAACAGTGCAGTCTCAATAGTGCATTAACACAGTGCCCTGCTGGGGGTCCGCATACCCAGATGCCCCTTGAGTCCCACCTTTGTACTAGAGCAGAGTTCACACCATGGAATGAATCCATACAAGTTAATGTTCATTTAGTCAGCTCTTGTTCACCCTGGTCCATCCCTCCCCACTCCCACATCCCTAACCCACACAATGCCCGTAAAGAGACTTCTTTGGGGTGAGGATGAAAGTGGAGCATGTTGACAAATTGGCATACTGTTTTGGTACCTCCCACTCTAGAAGCCAGTGATGCCCATGTTGAGGTTCCCCTCCTGTC